AAAAATTAAGTTTCTCCAATCTTCCCAAATTCTGATAGAGGGCCATGAAACTTAGACCTGAGTGCAAAATGAGGCTCTAGCCTCTTCAGAGCTGAGATATCGAAACTCAAAAATTCGGCCGAAAAAAAACGAAAAGACAGTGGTACCCCTTACGTTTTTTTTTTTTGGGCGAAAAAACAATCTTCCCAAATTCTGATAGAGGGCCATGAGACTTAGACCTGAGTGCAAAAATTGAGGCTCTAGCCCTTTCCAGAGCTGAGATATCGAAACTCAAAAATTCGGCCCGAAAAAAAAAACGACAGTGGTACCCCTTACGTTTTTTTTTTTGGGCGAAAAATTAAGTTTCTCCAATCTTCCCAAAATTCTGATAGAGGGCCATGAGACTTAGACCTGAGTGCAAAAATGGAGGCTCTAGCCCCTTCCAGAGCTGAGATATCGAAACTCAAAAATTCGGCCCGAAAAAAAAACGACAGTGGTACCCCTTACGTTTTTTTTTTTTGGGCGAAAAATTAAGTTTCTCCAATCTTCCAAAATTCTGATAGAGGGCCATGAGACTTAGACCTGAGTGCAAAAATGGAGGCTCTAGCCCCTTCCAGAGCTGAGATATCGAAACTCAAAAATTCGGCCCGAAAAAAAAACGACAGTGGTACCCCTTACGTTTTTTTTTTTGGGCGAAAAATTAAGTTTCTCCAATCTTCCCAAATTCTGATAGAGGGCCATGAGACTTAGACCTGAGTGCAAAATGGAGGCTCTAGCCTCTTCCAGAGCTGAGATATCGAAACTCAAAAATTCGGCCCGAAAAAAAAACGACAGTGGTACCCCTTACGTTTTTTTTTTGGGCGAAAAATTAAGTTTCTCCAATCTTCCAAATTCTGATAGAGGGGCATGAGACTTAGACCTGAGTGCAAAAATGGAGGCTCTAGCCCCTTCCAGAGCTGAGATATCGAAACTCAAAAATTCGGCCCGAAAAAAAACGACAGTGGTACCCCTTACGTTTTTTTTTTTTGGGCGAAAAATTAAGTTTCTCCAATCTTCCCAAATTCTGATAGAGGGCCATGAGACTTAGACCTGAGTGCAAAAATGGAGGCTCTAGCCCCTTCCAGAGCTGAGATATCGAAACTCAAAAATTCGGCCCGAAAAAAAACGACAGTGGTACCCCTTACGTTTTTTTTTGGGGCAGAAAATTAAGTTTCTCCAATCTTCCCAAATTCTGATAGAGGGCCATGAGACTTAGACCTGAGTGCAAAAATGGAGGCTCTAGCCCCTTCCAGAGCTGAGATATCGAAACTCAAAAATTCGGCCCGAAAAAAAAAACGACAGTGGTACCCCTTACGTTTTTTTTTTGGGCGAAAAATTAAGTTTCTCCAATCTTCCAAATTCTGATAGAGGGCCATGAGACTTAGACCTGAGTGCAAAAATGGAGGCTCTAGCCCCTTCCAGAGCTGAGATATCGAAACTCAAAAATTCGGCCCGAAAAAAAAACGACAGTGGTACCCCTTACGTTTTTTTTTTTTGGGCGAAAAATTAAGTTTCTCCAATCTTCCCAAATTCTGATAGAGGGCCATGAGACTTAGACCTGAGTGCAAAAATGGAGGCTCTAGCCCCTTCCAGAGCTGAGATATCGAAACTCAAAAATTCGGCCCGAAAAAAAAACGACAGTGGTACCCCTTACGTTTTTTTTTTGGGGCGAAAAATTAAGTTTCTCCAATCTTCCCAATTCGGATAGAGGGCCATGAGACTTAGACCTGAGTGCAAAAATGGAGGCTCTAGCCCTTCCAGAGCTGAGATATCGAAACTCAAAATTCGGCCCGAAAAAAAAACGACAGTGGTACCCTTACGTTTTTTTTTTGGGCGAAAAATTAAGTTTCTCCAATCTTCCCAAATTCTGATAGAGGGCCATGAGACTTAGACCTGAGTGCAAAAATGGAGGCTCTAGCCCTTCCAGAGCTGAGATATCGAAACTCAAAAATTCGGCCCGAAAAAAAACGACAGTGGTACCCCTTACGTTTTTTTTTTGGGCGAAAAATTAAGTTTCTCCAATCTTCCCAAATTCTGATAGAGGGCCATGAGACTTAGACCTGAGTGCAAAAATGGAGGCTCTAGCCCCTTCCAGAGCTGAGATATCGAAACTCAAAAATTCGGCCCGAAAAAAAAACGACAGTGGTACCCCTTATTTTTTTTTTGGGGGCGAAAAATTAAGTTTCTCCAATCTTCCCAAATTCTGATAGAGGGCCATGAGACTTAGACCTGAGTGCAAAAATGGAGGCTCTAGCCCCTTCCAGAGCTGAGATATCGAAACTCAAAAATTCGGCCGAAAAAAAAAACGACAGTGGTACCCCTTACGTTTTTTTTTTTGGGCGAAAAATTAAGTTTCTCCAATCTTCCAAAACTCTGGATTCTGATAGAGGGCCACGAGACTTAGACCTGAGTGCAAAAATGGAGGCTCTAGCCCCTTCCAGAGCTGAGATATCGAAACTCAAAAATTCGGGCCGAAAAAAAAACGACAGTGGTACCTTACGTTTTTTTTTTTTTTTTGGCGAAAAATTAAGTTTCTCCAATCTTCCAAACTCTGGGTTCTGATAGAGGGCCATGAGACTTAGACCTGAGTGCAAAAATGGAGGCTCTAGACCCTTCCAGAGCTGAGACATCGAAAGTCAAAAATTCGACCCGAAAAAAAAAACCGACAGTGGCTTTCGGTTTTTTTTTTGGGGCGAAAAATGAAGTTTCTCCAATCTTCTCAAAACTCTGGATTCTGATAGAGGGCCACGAGACTTAGACCTGAGTGCAAAAATGGAGGCTCTAGACCCTTCCAGAGCTAAGATATTAAGATATTTATAATGGCATTAATTCTACGTGGGATCTCAATATCTCAGCTCTGGAAGGGTCTAGAGGCTCCATTTTTGCACTCAGGTCTAAGTCTCATGGCCCTCTATCAGAATCCAGAGTTTTGAGAAGATTGGAGAAACTTAATTTCTCGCCCCGAAAAAAACCCCGAAAGGGATTCTACTGTGGGTTTTTTTTTTCAGGTCGAAATTTTGAGTTTGTCTGATCTTCTTGAAACTCTATATTTTCTGATATAGGGCCACGAGACTTAGACCTGAGTGCCAAAATGGAGGCTCCAGACCCTTCCAGAGCTGATATATTGAGATATTTATAATTCTACCAGAAAGACTCGGGAGATAAGTTGAAAAGCAGAATACATTTATTGACAGCTCAGCAAGCATAAATTTATTAGTTCTTTGGCGTAGAACCCGTCCTTAGCGAGCAAAGCGAGGTTAGTCGAATCTGCATGTCCCGCCTGAGATGAAGGCCGGTGCGCAGCCGACCCCCTGGAGGTAAGGAAGGGACCATCCTGGTGGTGGTGATGGGGAGGATGGAGGGGAAGGTACCATCTTGGTGGTGGTTGGGGAGCATGGAGGTGAATGGCAGCATCAGCATCTGTGAACTCAGACAAGTGTAAGTACCAATCTTTTATACTGTGACTGTTAACACCTGATTGGATAGGAATGAGGTAATACATGACACGCTTATTGAATGTTCCTGACAGAACTTAAGCTAAAGCTTTCATTGGCATAAATGCTCCGTGGGATCTCAATGTCTCAGCTCTGGAAGGGTCCAGAGCCTCCATTTTTGCACTCAGGTCTAAGTCTCATGGCCCTCTATCAGAATCCAGAGTTTTGAGAAGATTGGAGAAACTTAATTTCTCGCCCCGAAAAAATTTTGAGTTTCTCTGGTCTTCTTGAAACTCTGGATTCTGATATAGGGCCACGAGACTTAGACCTGAGTGCCAAAATGGGGGCTCTAGACTCTTCCTGAGCTGAGATATTGAGATATTTATAATGGCATTAATCCTACGTGGGATCTAAATATCTCAGCTCTGGAAGGGTCTAGAGCCTCCATTTTTGCTCTCAGGTCTAAGTCTTATGGCCCTCTATCAGAATCCAGAGTTTTGGAGAAACTTAATTTCTCGCCCCGAAAAAAAAAAAACGAAAGGGGTACCACTGTCGTTTTTTTTTTTCCGGGTCGAAATTTTGAGTTTCTCTGATCTTCTTGATCATGTACATCATGTACACTCTAGAGTGCGCCCTTGAGGAGAACTGCCTGTCCAGCACAGCGAAAAAGAATGACCACAGCTCCTACCACCGCCTGCTCTGCTTCTCCTCCCAGATCCACAACGTCGGCCAAGCTGACTTCAGACCAAAATGGGTTACCATTCCTGGACCTGGCACGAGTGTCACAGGCAAGACCATAAACACCTTAGTAAACGACAAAGATACACACAAAGACTTCAACACATGATGCCAATATGGCGGCGTTTAAAACTTCTAATTATTGTTGTATTTTGTCTCTGTGTTTAGGCATTATCACAGCATGGATGTTTTTACACATTATGACCTGCTGAGTCTGAACAGCACCAAGGTTGCAGAGGGTCACAAGGCCAGTTTCTGTCTAGAGGACACTCAATGTGACGAAGGTGAGAACTTATGAGATGGTCAAATAACGCTAAAGTTAATCAACACTAGTACAAAGGTGCGTTCACACCATGTCGTGGTTACAGTAATAACTGCTCTGAGTAGAATCCCAGACAGCAACATAGTGTCGGTCCAGATCCGGCCCACATCTGGTACACTTGGATTCCACACGGTCCAGATGTAGGCCGGATCTGGGCCGGAGAAACGAGTTCTATTCAGTCATAAACAGCTCTACAGAAGTGGAGGTAAGGAAGGGACCACTCTATTATTCAGCTCGAAAATCTAATTGGTTGTTTTCGTTGATCCAGGTATTCAGAAACTGTATCTTTGTGCCGACTTTGGTGAACAGGGCATCACCGTTGGCTGCTGAGACACTTACAGACAGTGGATCGATATCACAGATGTGAAACCAGGAGACTATATTTTCCAGGTACCGGTTTATTTGAAGTGAACTAAAAATAAAAAAAATATTTTCTTACTAACATGACTCTGTCACATAGGTCGTAATCAATCCTAACTATGATGTAGCCGAGTCGGATTACACCAACAATGTCATGAAGTGCAAGTGCCGCTATGATGGATACAGGATATGGACGTACAACTGTAATATAGGTGAGTTGGTTAGAAAAATACTGAATTGAATGTCTACCAGGACAGTTTAACAATTTCCCTGCCATTGATGGAAATTTTCATCATTTGTGTGACAACGCTTTCCCGCCATAGACAAAATTTTCCCGGTTTCTGTGTTTTCACTGTTATACAGTAGGGAGCGGTATTACACATATTCTGAAAGGGTACAGAATCTCCTGGTCAAAACAATGAAGAAGATGCATAAACATGTCATATGTAATCATATGCATATATAAAATAATGCAATCACCAACATTAAACAGCATATAATCAAAACTGCCTAACTGCCTAATGTAACTCCATATATGTTAGATCACCGTTCTGAATCCCATCCAGACGTACTTTAACAAAAACTTGATTTTCTCAGTTTTATCTTTTATTGTCTCTTAAATAAGTCTCTTATTGGCCAGTAAATAATAATACCACCTCTACCATTTTCCAGGTGGCTCGCGGAGTTCAGACATGGACGAAAACCCTGGAATGAGCAACCAGTTGCACCTCAGATAGGAGACAGTGAGGAACGGCAAAGCTCTCAGTGGAGGAAGCTGCAGGCTGTCACTCAAGACTATTGAAATACAACTGACCACTAGTGAGACTCCAGCACTTCAATTGGTAGAGACCACTGCTCTGTAACCCACCTCAAAATATAGATGCAGTCGCTAGGTTGAAGTACATCTTGTGTCCTTTTACGGCCCTCGCTATATCAAGCTTGCTTTGTACAGAAACTATTTAAATTCTTTAAACGTACTGTACTTGCTGCATTTATGTGTTAAAAATGCTAGTTAATTGTTGTAGTGGCTACAAACTGGTGCTTTAATGTTCAAAATTGGAACTTCCATACTTAAAGTATCACAAAGTCTGCAGTTTCATGAACCAAACGCCACTTTTTTGTGGTTAATTTATCAAGCATGTCAAATAATTTATTGTGTTCAGGCTGGGATTATATTTCATCAACTTTTGTGTATGCAATGTGAAACTGTAAGAATTTGTTGCAAATCTGTGAAGCATCTACCCTCTGTTTTACTAGGGTACCTATGACCAGTTCAATGGTTTCCGAATATACTGTGTTTATGACTGAACAACACATTTGGTCAAACCATTGCATTGTTTTCTAATACTAAAGCAATTAATGTTTGTTACTTGGAGGATGGTGTTTTTTTTATGTTAACATGACAACCCATGTATTTTTAGAGCTAAAATGTGTGGAAACAATTTAAGATTTGACACCGATAAAAACACCGATTTGTATTTAATCAAAATGTAAAAAACATGTTCGAAGTATCGCACAATTTTAAAACGCAGTGCAGAAATAATTTTCAACTACTTAGTATGGAGAAACAAATGTACAAAAAAAAAGTATTTGGGGGAAAAATACTTTTGATACAACTTGTGAGACAACATATTTCATGTGTTTTAGATGTTCATCTACGTGTGCTGCTAAGATAAAGCTTTGCTCCTTTTCCTCTCCTTTCTGGATTATGTAGTAGCTGATGTCAAGAACATTAGTCATTCGAACGAATAAAAACAAGACAGGAACTGGGGTAGATTTCTTCAGTTGGGGTCATTTCTTCAAGCCTTTGCTCAATCCCAGTGCTCTGGTTACCATCCTGCGAGCCACCGCTGTGTCCGTGCGGGGCCTTTCCTTAACCGGCTGAATGAACTCTAAGGGGACACAACATCATCACACTTGATAGTAATATACTTATGCTCATTATGCGGATCAGTGCCATTGAAGTTTGTATTTATTAATTAAAAAATATATACACGTTCAAAAAGCACAAGCGACCTTATTATTTTACTTCCCAATTAAAATTCATAGTTTTTTTGTACCATGAAATGTCATTCCAATGCAACTCATTTAAAAAAAGCCTTTTCCCCCAACTTTCTAGTCATCAGAAAATCCTGAAAAAAATATATCACGGTTTTCCCAAAAATATTATGCTGTATTCAACATTGTTAATAATCAGAAATGTTTCTTGAGCTGCAAATCATCACCTAAATTCAGCTTTGATTCACAAGACTAGATTACATTTTAACATACTGTATATTAAAATGGAAATATTTCAAACATTATTGTTGATTTGTATTTTTGATTAAATAAATCCTTGATCTTGGTGAGCATAAGAGACTTTCAAAACAATTTAACTTTAACAATTTTGTGTTTCACCACTTGTAATTTAAATATCTTGAAAAAAGTACAAAGTTTCTTGATTATGGACACATTGTCTTCTAATATAAGAATCACCATATTTCTGAGAGCCGTTTATTCAGTGGCTCAGCTTTCATACCTGCTCGTCTGACTGCTTTCCACTTGGCTTTCTGACTCCCCTCTAGTAGCACACGGGTTTTCAGTATCGGATGCTTAAGAGAGAGTGCCTGTGTGGCTGAAAACAAACAAAAATGTGTCACTCAAACAGAACAACATAAAAGAGGATAATTCTTAACACATGAATGGAAAAAAAAAATACTGCCGAATGAAACAATACCTGCGGACTGACTTGAAAATATACCGAGAGCATGAGTGTTATCCACCCACTTGATCTTCATCCCCCCTTCACTGGAAACAGAAGTAGACCAGTGTCACATTTTTGCATTTCAATTATTATTTCTCTCACATTATAAGGGTGCCATATCACCTATAATCAGCAAAGGCATCAAGAAGGTCTTCTGTTTTAAAAAAGGTAGGGAAGTTGTAGATCTCAATGACGTGGCCAAACTCCTCTGGGTCAAGCCAGATGTTTGTATAGGCTGGGAAATCATTGCAGGTGTTCAGTACGGTGATGTCCTCGCACTTGAGTTTGGCTTTGATCTGACAAACACAGAATGAATGACAAAATGTGTGAAAACAAAAGAGAATAAAAATTATGGTAAAAACAGTAAGAGATGCATTGGCTCTTTATGCAAATAACAAACCTCAAAGGGCCCGTTTTACACTTGGCCACATAAACGTGTCTACTACGTAAAACTAATATAAATCCAATCCTCAATTCTCACGCTAAATGCAAATTTAACAGTTCACGTCAATGTAAGAAACAGATATGAGCTGGATTTCAGGCCGCAATAAAAGAGAAAGCTGCATCATATCTGTTCGCAATGCGTGTTGCAGTAGCGCTGTCATATCTGGCTAACCGGAACACTATAACACTCTGACATGATTTTATATATATATATATTGTTTACATGTAGAACCGGTCAAAAGTTTGGAAACATTCCTATTTTTAATGGTTTTGAAAGAAGTCTTATGCACATTAAGCCAGAATATTTATTTGATAGAAAATACAGAAAAATTTTAGTCTGGGTTTCCCCATACTGCCTTACCGCAGCAGCGTGATTTTATTCACGCTCAAAGGCAGTCTGGATACCATGGCCAGATTTTCGCCTCATTTAGGGAACCAGTCACAGAACGGGGAGGGAGCAGCAAGACGATGACGACATCTATGCCACACACCGCAGTTTGTTTATATCTATGGATTCAACATGGCAGCAGACAGACGCGAAGCTACCATGGAAGCTACCTTATGATGCAGCCTTAGATATTGTTTTAAGTAGTTTAGAATGCAAGTTTATTTAAAAAAAGAGCAGCTTTTGGCGTTAAACTTCACAAGACTCCAGTCGTTATTGTTGTCTCGCCATTAATCGCCCAAATGGAGGACCAGGAACAGGAGGCGGTCAACCTTGGAATATTTGCCGCTCAGTTGTATCCCGAGAAAGAAAATGTGACAAAGAATTGTCAATACCAACTTCTGTTCGGTAGCCCGAGGCCTGGATGAGCGCAAAGTGGCAAGACATGTTAGCCACGGAGTTAGTACCAACCTGCTAGGCATCGTCGTCAACGAAGTCCTTTTAACTTATAAATGGTAAGTGGTATTTATTAATATCATATTGTCATTATGCATGTAGACTACCTACTGTAGTTGTCACAGTGCCAATAAGTTACTAAAATACTACTACAAATTAAAATAATGGATTTTTATTTCAAAATACTTTTATTTCAGGAGGTCTTACGGGCTTGGGACAACATGTGGGTGAGTCATTAATAACATAATTTTCATTTTTGGGTGAAATAACACTTTAAGTTACAATACCTCAGAGAGCAAACTTTCATCAAAGTGCTGAAGTTGGAGGGTCGCATCAGTGGGAAGTGGGTCTGTGTTGTTGGCACAATACTCTTCTGCTTGGTCATCTAATGTTAAAGACGTGAAGAAAGACACAGTCTCGTCCCAGGCTGGAGGCCACGGGGAGGGCCCGGACCTTGAAAGCTGCACAAAGTTCTGATCGGCAAGTGATTGGTCAGTCCTGTCCACCTCTGTCTCCTGATTGGAAGCAAGAACTTCCTTAGCAACGTCAGAGCTAGTATCCTCAGATGATTCCTCCAGATTCGCCTTATGTCTCCTAGCTAAAGGAACATAAATAGCCTTTTCTAGCCGTTTGGCTCTTCTTCTGTTGCATTCGTCCTCCATTTTCTCGCCCCGACCGCGTGCTTGTTCATGGAAACTGCTCTTCATACATATATGATCCTCATCTGGCAATCTGTCAGATGCACCACAATGATGAGACAGCAAATCTATGTAAGCACGTCAAGTGACATTAGGTTTGGCAGCTTTACCTGAGGTCGGAATAGCACACTACGACTCTGCGGGCGCAGCCCTCACCCACAGAGAAGGTGCTGAGGTCGGGGAGATTGCCAGTTGTTTGGTGAATCAGGAAGCGAAGTCGGCTCGGGATAGGTGGGAAGAGTAGAATGCTACAATTGGGAAACATTAAAATAAAACAGTATGGCAGCTGTATATTCATCGATAGATAGATAAGACAGACAGATATATAAGATAGATAGATATGCACAAAGTCCTCTAATCTAGTGTTGGGCGTCGGTTTGACCAAAAATTTATATTTCAAAATTAAGCCGGTTTTCAACGTTTATTTTTTTCCATGCATAATCAGGAGCTCAAATCATTATTTTTTTACTGGTTGAGAGAGAAATTACTGCAATAAATTGACTTAGGACCTTGGTCTATTTTATTGTCATTAGTTAATATTGTAGAATAGAATAGAACCCGTATAACCTATTTATTTCTTCACGTTCTAATAATATTCTTATAACCCAGCAAGGACGATATTACAACTTTTATTTAACAGGAGAATTGAACGTTCTTGTAACCAACAAATAACGTTAATACAACGTCTAAACAAACTGGACGTTTTGAATGTTCCTAGAACATTCAGAAATAACGTTTTTATAAATTAATGGGAACGAAAACGTTCTTAAAACCTAAAATTGTTAACTGGGGAAGAGGTGAGATTCGAGATTACCCATGAACACGTTTTAAGTGCAGGATTCTCTGAGCGAGCCCAGAGAAAATAGACCTATTCTTCCAAGAGTAGCGTGTATCTAAGAGCGCAAGCAGCGAGATTCGCGTACCGTACGCGCATTATATTAATTTACTTTCGCGCTACAATAATGAGCTCTCGGCATTTGACAGAAAATAACGCCATAGTTCAGCAACATCCACAATCCCTAACGTAACACCAGAGCACTGCTTGTTTGGTTGCCTCACCGTCGCTGCTTAGAAGTGCAACATTGTAAAGGGTCCGCCTGAAACAGTGTTGCGCCATTCTCTGGTTGCGCGGGGCAGTGTAACGTTCGTTCCGAACGTTGTGAAAATACACCGGTATGGCGGTATATTAAAAATTAATATCATAACCAAAATATACACCGGTTTTCGGTATGAACCGGTATAGAACCCAGCAATACTCTAATCATTATACCGATGGTAAAATGTGTAGCCCATTTGAATTAGGCCTACATAGAAAATGTACAAACATACAACACTATGTAGAAAGTCAATTATCTAAAACAGCCACACAAACTAAGACTGATGAGAAAAAAAGGAGAACAGACATGCACCAACATAAATTAGAAGGATTATTAAAATATTCATGACCACCCTTACAAGAATTAATAACATTTTATTTTAGGAACATGATGTTGTAGTTACTTTTCATAGAAATGTGGCCTATAGATTGTATATTCATGGCCTAAAAGCATAGTAATAAGAAGCCACTGAGGGTCTTATCTGTAAATATAGTGTTAACAAATGCCACGATTACAAGAATTAATAATAATAATTTATAGGCTAATAGGGCAAGTACACATCTAGCTTTAAAGTATGGACCTTCAAGAATTACTGGTCAAACAAAAACAATATTTGTATAAGAATTTTCAATAGAAGAAAAAAAAAACTGAAAATGCTCCAGATGGTTATAATATAAAATACTTACCGTGTATGTTCTGGAAACAAGGAATTATGTTAATAATTGTAACGTAAATTCAATAATAAAATCTCACAAGGGAAAAATGTCCCAGGACCCTTCTAAAACGATTAGCTTTACAAAATAATGTTGGAGAATATCATTCCCTTCCTCAGAACAGATATGTGATGAAGTTACCTTTTCAGCTCCTTTCTCTGTCGAAATACGTCCAGCTCCTCAAGGACTGTATGGATAAACGCAGTCTCTTGTTTGGGGAGGAAACAGCCACTGACGTGTGGATTAGCCAGCGTGCTAGAGGACGATCTCTATCCACAGAGACTAGATGCTTTCAGTTCCGACCATGTAAGTTATAAGGTTATTTAACGTTATTTTATTGCTAACTTAACGTTACAGGCTCACGTATACGTCAAATAAAAAATAAAGAAAATAAATAAACGTGTATTTAGTAAAGTGTATTATGGAAAGACGTTACTCGTGAATCTAACCGCGAAATTAAACTCATTAATAAACATTGCAACTAAGGTTAGCTTAGCACACCAATCTCATTCAATGACATAATACCCGTTTCATTGTTTCAAGACGAGATCTGACTAATAACAAATAAAAGTATGCCACCCTTTTAAGAGAACTTTAAACACGATTAAATCCCAGTTAAAAACGACACCGCAGGACAGCCGCAAACAGCAACTTCTTCTTATTTTATGGCAGATTGCAACCATGACTTTTGAAGGTGCATACCGCCACCTACTGGATCGAAGCATGTAGTATGAACCGTTCGATTCATGAACCGATTCGTTGGGACTACTTATATTAAAATACAACAACTCTTATATTATGTTCTATGTTTTTTTATATATTGTACACCATCTCCTGATGTGCCAAATAAAGGTTCCACTTCCTTCCTGCATGACTTATCTTTTTGTTTAGCCTTATAAGTTACACCTTTCATGGATCTACATTCCAAACATTAACCTGATTACCTTAGTTTTGCCCATTAAAGCAATGTTTTATTTAACCCTGTATGGTCAAACCGTAGTCTGGTTATAACGCTCTCCTCTCTTCTGTTATTTCTACTCACCCCCATACATTAACATTAATAGTTTTTTGCAAGTTGTAATATTTCCTCCCACTTTTATCCCCATCCCACCTGTCCTGCCATTTCTTCATTATTTCTTTTTTAATATCGCTTTAGCTTCTCCTTTTCCAATGGGTATATTTATGATTCATATTCATTCGTCCTAGTTGACGCAAACAGTCAGCCACAAGTAACAACCATGGTAACAACACTGAATTTAACAGACACCTCACGTCATTAAGATTTTCGGTGTGAAGGCTTTTCGCCCCCTCTTTTGCTGCTCTCTGGCCACTCCCCCTATCACACTGCACACTGAGTGGCCACTCCCCCTCTCACATTGCACCACACTGAGTGGCCACTCCCCCTCCACACCCAAAATAAATATTCCGACATTAGAGGGTTGTAGTTTGACAATATCTGAATATTATATTTTTTTCACGACCATCATTTGTAGTAGCCTATTCACCAACTGTTTGCTCAAGCGTGGCGTTTTTTCGGAGTTCAGTGTGTAGCGTGCTCCAGCCAAGGTCTGAACCTGAATCTTCGCTCTTATTCACTTGTGGATGTTATCTGAATCTGCAAGTCAGCTACACTGTGTAATTCTGAATAATATATTTTATTCCGGTGCGCTTAACGTTATCGTTTTCTCAGAGTTTAGGCTCCTGTATAATAGTAGCAAAGGCTATTCAGCAACTCAACATACCAAACCAACAATTACTAAAAACACACAAAACAGATTTTGCACAGGCATTGCACTAGTCTAATCCATTCCCCATGGACAAAATCAAGTCCCGCGTAAAACTTTTTTTTTTTCCAATTGAGAACATTATTATAAACAAAGAAGGAATCAGTCACAGTAAAGAACAAATAAACAAAAAAAAGGTACAAAACAGGGGTATTAACACTAATCACAATAGATCACATATATCAAAGGATGAGATTAAAAGACTTACATGTTTCAATTGTTTTTAAAGCCTTCTTGTTACACGAGTTAGAGGTAGTTCAGGATCTGCTTGAGTTAGAGGTAGTCCAGGATCTGCTTATGAAACAAATTTATCATTATAATTATGATTGCAAAGCAATAAAACATTTAATTAGAAGAAAAAAAAATGTGGAATAAAGTTCCAGACAGAGGTTGGATTTTTGAGAAAGCGTTTGACCTAATTTTAAGAGCATTACTAAATGTACAAAAATCTACAAGTATCTAGTCTACCAAAAAACAACATATTTCTAGATATGTATTTCCCAAATGAAATTAAAAAACTATTGTCAATATTTATGAATTATTTATCAGAGTTACTGAGCAGCATATAACATGGCAATCTTTAATAGAGAGTAATTCACATTTATACATACTTTTTCTTCTTCAAGAAGCAGTTTCACTCCAATACGTCACAATAGAGAAGCCTTACGTTATGCCAACTAAAATAGAATGTACCTCTGAATATAAAATAAATACAACTAAAAGAAATATTTGCAGACGATGGCATTTGTTCAAGAAAACACTATTTATTGTACGATACACAGTTTAAATAAGTGTCAAAAGATTTTCAAAAAAGACTATGATACAACACTGATAAAAAGATTTACGCAAGAAACAGTTAGAGCTGACAGCAGTCTGAAATACAAGCTGGATATGCAATATTAAATGCAAACCATGCCTTTTAAGGATTTTATGGCATTTGTGTGTAATAAGGATTATATTGAAGACCCAAATAAAATTACAGTAGTTCATTGGTAAATAGAGTAAAATGTAGTGTTACAAAAGAAAACTTTCTTTTTCATAGAGGGGAATGGAACAATGTTATAAACTAAACTGATTATTACTTACAATCATGAAATACAACTAATTTTAAATATCAGTGTCAAATTTTCATGTACACATGATGAATGTATTGACAGTTTTAACAAGCACATATTTGATGATCAGATTTCTCAAACAATTTTTTTACCATGAGAACGATCCTAATAATCAAGATGCAACTGTATTGAGACAGAACATTGTGCACTTAATATATACTTCCCATTCAAGACAAGTATTTACAGAAAACAAGAGAAAGGATCATAAAGCAGAGAAATCAATATCCAGCAATAAAAAAAAATTACATGGCACAACAGATATTAAAACTCAGATTAAGTAACACATTGGAAAGCTGCTAACTGAGGGAAAGCTGAATTGGAGAGTTTAAGAAGCATTATATAATAATCAGTCTCTCCCTCAGTCAAAAAATAAAATATTAATGAATCAATGGTCGGAAAATAAAGGTATACTATCTACATTTAAAGCAATAGGGTTGTGATATCATGAGATGGAGAAGCAGGTTCTGAGTCCAGCAGGCCAATAATCACGTTCCAAACATGATCCTGCAAGAAGAATTATGACATTGCATTACTTCAAGGACAATGCACTTCCAAAAGATGGGATATCATAGCATTGTCCAAAACACAGGACTTACCTTTGGTGTGTTTTATCTTGAACCAATACTTCTATCCTCAAAAATAGTGATCTCCACCTTTAAAAACTCAAGTTGAGGAAATCAAGTTCAAGAAAATCTATGAAATATTCAGTTTAACTAGACACAGACGCATGAATAAACTAAGGTTTTCCGTGTCAAATACAATTTGTATCAAACTTGAGTAAGGGGGGGGGGGGGATTTGGGCTTCTCATTTCTTTACCATCTGACGTACAGTACTTTTCAAAAGTTTGGGGTCAGTAAAATTTTTGAAAAGTTTCATGTTCATAATTGATCAAAAATACAATAAAAACAGGAAAATTGTGACATTGTTAAAGTTTAAAATACCTTTTCTCTCAATACCATCACCACATGATCCTTAAGACATCATTCTAATATGCGGATTTGCTTTTTAAGACACATTTCTTAAAAGCTCATTTGAACAGTGCTTGATCGAAATTGACTGAAAAGACTTTTATGATGTTGCAAAAGACTTCTATTTCAATTAAACTAATGCATCCTTTCTAAATAAAAGTATTCATTTCTTACTGACCCCAACATTTGAATGGTAGAGCAAGTTCCTAAATAGTAAATGTTACCAGAATCCAATGACAATTCCACCTGGGGACAGAAAGACCCGCATGTTTCGATGTAGGAAAGGATACAACCCTCAGTCCCCTCTCTATGGGGTCAGTCAGGAGAAGCCCAAGGGGAGCAAAGATCTTCTCATTCTGCTCCTGGATGTACTTGGCAATCTTTTTCAGCACCTGCACGAATTAGCATATTGTTAAAATCCATATCGACAATGTCACATTGATGAAATCTACAGCCTACAACTCCGTCAACTGACTTTCTCATAGTGGGTCTCCATGCAGAGGAAGATTGTGTACGCAGTGAGGCAGGCCAGACAGCCCTCCAGGTAAGACCTGCCGCCAAGCTTCTCCGCCTCGGCATAGAGATTATTCAGGGTCTGCATGGTCTCCTCAAACTGCTGCTTGTCAATCTGAGACAACAAAACAATTATCAGCATTCACACTCAGTGAGAGGTGTGAACTAGAAGTACAATCACAGCAGAACATTCAAATCTAAGTTATCATCCGAGTTATCATTGCTCTAACATAAGTTTTCAGGTACAGAAAGTGAATAAAATAATCAAATGTAAAATAACATTGCATATTATATAAATTAACAAATAATCTTTATTAAAGTTACAAAAGGCATTCAATTTCAGAGCTGATTCAGTAGGCCTACACTATACTGTGAGTGTCTTTCTTGACCATATAAGTTCACTTACGGCAGACTATGCCTGCTAGGATACTCATCAAGACGGATATGTTGACATAGTTTTTGTGTGAATTTGTTTATTCAAGTGCAAGACTTGAAAGAGAACTCAGTCCACGCCATAGCAGAAAGGGCACGCACCGTTACTATAGTTACTAGGCAAGTGAGTCACAGAACAAGATAGTAGCCAAGCGTAGTTTGTCATCTGAAATGGGACAGTTTCAGCTTAATCCGCTGTGGCCACAAATACCAGAATTCAATAATTTAAACCCCAAATCAGAGCTTTTCTGTTAAAAGAACCTGTTTTCAACCCAGTCTTTTCAGTAGTACACTGTAAAAAAAATATTTTCATGATTTGTAATCACATTTTTTCTTTTGTCAAATCAACTTAAATCATTTATGTAGTTCAGATAACATAATATTTTGAGTTTCTAATGGTTAAATCAATCTCCTTCATTGTATTAACTCAATTTTTCCATTTCAATGAACTTAAAAAAATAAGTAACCTGGTTGCCTTAAAGTTTTAAGTTAAACCAACAATATTTTTTTACAGTGTATCTGAAAACAGACAAGCTGGAGTTCAGCAATCTTCATTTGAGATTTTCAACTTAAATTGAAATGTCATTCAGTCGATCTATGTTCCATCACGAGCCGCTTGTGCTGATTGTGCGAACAAAACGCAGGCTGATTTCCAACAGTGTTTTTAATGTGAGTTTTTAATGTGGTTTTAATCGTGAGGTTCAATGAATGACTCGATGCCTCACACATAAAGACAATGAGTTACCGCCACCTACTGGCGATTTTAATACAATATTTGTATAAATATTAAACGATTTTAACATTGCCTATTTATTGAACACTGTCTTATTTAAGGCATTTTTTTATTTTTTAAACTATTACAAAGGTAAAAAATGAAATGGAAAAATGATTAAAGGGGACAAATATCGTCCCTTAATCAATGGACAAGGCGTGACTGCAGTCTAAGTGGAAAAGGAGTACGGCACAAATATTGGAGAACCACGAACTGAATTATTCTTTGTTTAAATAGGTCAAAGTTACTATTAGATGTAATGTTATTACCTTAATACATCATTACAAAAGATATAAGATTCAAGTTTTAATATTTGTCTTATATTTATGTAAAATCCTTAAAACTAATTCCAGCATTTTTCATCTCCGTTCTACCAGCTGGCTCTCTTACTAGGTTCCAAAGAGTTTTTACTGAACTTCTCTTACTTTGCACCATGGTCCTGTAATAATTTGCTAAATTTGTTACATCTAAATGATGTAGTACCAATAAATGAATTTTAGGTCATGTTAAAATGCCATATAACTCAAAAATGTGTTCTTTTCTTTTGTGTGATGCTTGCTCGTTTGTTTTTGACTATGTTTTTTTTTAATGTACATTTGGGATATCACATAATAATAAATAAATAAAAACACTGGAGGGAAACGGCAAGATACACATAAATTCTGAAAAACGCACATAAAAAAATTATGCACTCAATGGAGGTGGATACATTTTTTTATCCGATAAGACGACAAGCTCATCAACTACGATACAAATCTAATTACCGAATAAATCCCTCGATGCACCACCACAAGAAAAACTCACATGACTTTGCCTCAGCAGTGGATGTGATTGGATAACTGGACTAACTAGTGGACTAATTTCATTCCACAGCATGTTGGTTTGGTCTTTTAAAATCATGTAGATTCACAAGGAGACTGTCTACATAAGTATTACACTGCCCATCAGCAAACCTCAACTAATTTGAACACTGGAGATGGTGCCAATACTTTGGATATATTTGATATCATGATCTGTAAATACAGATTTATGGTAAATGGTTCCTTGTGTTTGCTATGAATCTCTACACACCCTGCTCTCCAGCTCTGCAGGGAACTTGGTCTGAAACTTGCAGATAGTGCCGGAAGTGTAGTCTCTCTGAACGAAAACCTTGGAGGCGACGGCTGCTTGCCGCAGGTCCTGCAAGCTGTGCGTCTGGAGAGAAAACAAGAGAGTGGGTATTGTTAAAAAAAAATTGTAAATATTTTATTTTAGCAGCCTAAGCTGAAAATCAAACTTAAGTTTTCCATGTCAAAATAATATGATTTATATTTTATTTGTAAATTTAGGTAAACTTTTTTTCACCCTAGCAAGACATCTTTATTTTTAACATACACTACTACCATTTAAAAGAAGTCTCTTATGCTCATCAAGCCTGCGTTTATTTGATCAAAATTATAGTAAAACAACAGTATAGTTTAGTATTATTACAATTTCAGTTTTCTATTCGAATATATTTAACCCTAAAACCGTATTCTGGACAAATGTGGGCAAAATAGTTTTTATTTATTTTTTAAAAATATTTCCCTTGATCCGAGCAGTACAAGACTCGGCTTATTTTCCTAAGTTTGCCTCCTGAACACACACATTTTTTTTTTTACTCAATTCTACAATGTTAAGTGGGTGAAAAAAACCCTTAATCTTGTATTTGGGTCAAAAATGGGCATCCATAGAAATGAATGGGAAAAACTGTATTTTAGAGCATTCTAAAATAAGCCAAAATAAGACACCAGGTGACAGCAAAGTCACTTCATCTTTAGGTTTTAGCTCTAATAACTTATTGGAATGATATTTTAATGTATTAAAAAAAAACTACATAGTAATTAATTTACATAGAAAATATGGTACTTTTTGAAGTAAATAAATTCAAAAATACCCCAAAATAAAAACACCATAAATGGATAGACAGAACAATCGAAGACAGCTATATAAGCTGTACAATAAATAAAAATTAGGATCACACCCGAGTCCTCTGTGCCCACATTTGTCGACAACTACAGTATTAAGGGCTAGAAATGCAATTTATTCCTGTGATGACAAGGCTGAACTTTTATCGTCATTACTCCGGTGGCACATGATCCTTCAGCAATCATTCTAATTTGATGACTTGTTGCTAATAAATACATTTCTTCTCATTATCAAATTAATGAGAAATTAAAAACGAGAAATCATAAGTTACACAGAACCAACATACACAATGCCCTTATACAGCACCATGTTTAAATAACACTACCGAAATCTGATGACAACACGAATCTCGATGTAAACATGACACCTCGTTTTATATTTATACGTGTATAGTGACAGTTAAACTAAGCATTTGAATTTTACGAAAGTTAATGGTCGACGCAGATAATTATCTTTGACGACCAATCGAGAAGCACTAACGTATCAAATAATGACGGCTTACAAAGATACGTATGTATCATCTGATTCATAGGATAATAAAACACTTATTATAACTTGTTATTTCAGACGCTAATCCTTGTTAGTGGACAAGAGGAAATTGTAATAAAATGTTGTTTTTAATTCACATACCTCCGCCATGGTTGCTGCTGATGCTCCTCTTCCGGTTACTCAACCTCCTGTCCTCCTCAAAATACAGTCCGGTAGGAACCTTTTACTTTATTCATCAGTTCTGCTGCCACACCAATTCCAAACTAATGGGGAGTTTTTTGGGGGGTGAAACTAATTCCCCCAAAGTTTTTTTCAATAAAAATATGATTAGCTCGTGTACCAAAAGTAACGGATTTTGTTTAAATATCACGTCTGAACGTTTAAAATAATTGCCTTCACCTGACGACCACCATTTTATATGGCACTTTTTAATTTAAATTAATTAGTCCACGCATAGTGAAAATGTGTGAATTGCAAACACACTGAACGATATAGAATATTGAACAGGTATACTTAGGTACAGGTACAGGTACTGACAGTAGGCCTGTTTAAAATAAGTGTAGGCCTATATAGCCTATAACCATCCATGAACCAAACTATACAAGTTTAAATAGGCTACTTGATTTAATTGTTAAACCCAACAGAAATAATGTCTCTGAGGTTAAATTTAATGTAAGGGATAGGAGAAGATAATTAGGCAATCTGACTATTGAAAATAAAAAATAAAGGACATGTGTAACATTTAGGCCTATAAATGAATTGGGAGAAGCATGTGGCAGAAAAATAAACTCATAATTTCTCTACCTATAATAGTTCTTTAAAAAGAATGTCTTTGTCATTTAGTTTTGCGTGTAATTTAAATGTAAAACATATATTATCTCATCTAATGTTATATTTGTTTGCCCACATTAAGACATGTCTTAACATTTCGGAGAGGAGGACATTGTGTCCCTAAATGAGACAGCTCAGTCCAGCTTACTAAAAGTAAACTGATGTTAGTTCATGATAATGCTCACTTTTATCACATATGCATTTGTGATACTGAGCTAAACCTAGGAAGAAACTATTAATGCCTAAAACAGTTATGTCCTTGTCTCCATCTGTCTTTTTACGACAGAGAAATGTCTTTATGATTGAGAAAACCAAGAATCACTCTTCTTTTACAGCAGAGGTTCAGTCATCCTTGCATTATAAATGATTCATAAGAAGGATCATTTACAGGTTCCTTTGGGAAACCTGGGCCATTTTTCACCATCACTCAGTTCCTTTTAGACGTATTGGATCATCTCACTTGATGGACATAAAACACATGGTCTATAAGAAAGTCTGTGAGATCTGTAAAACCATTTGTCAGATCATACAATATTTTGTGAAAACAGCATGGTGCGCATGTGATATTTTAATCTTATCAAGTTCACTGTACTGCACAATCTCCAGTTTATCAGCAGGCAAATGTGTTTGTTTAAAAGGTCGTTCGATTCACATGTGAGCTTTCTGAATTTAAAATGGGGAACTCCAGAACATTCATACCATTTTCGAGAAACTGTAGCATTTTGTTTTAAATCTATTTTTTAATCTATCTGTTTGTTTGTTTGTTTGTTTGTTTTTTTTTTGTTGTTTTTTTAAATTCTTGCACCATATAGTATTGTTTTAGTATAGATCATTACAAGATCTTACAAGAAGCATATTACAAGTGATTGTCCTGTTGAATTTTGGCATAAATCCTTTAATCAGTAATTAATTTAATAATTGGTTCTTAAATATTCATTTATTTATGCTTTTATAATGTTAAAAAAAATCGACATTTACATTATGTGCATCAAAGCAGGGTCAGTGTTATTGGAGTATAATTTATATTTTAGTTTTTGTTAATATGATTAGATTTTATATTTTCCATTTTAATTTTAGTTTACATTTTAGTATGTTAAAAGTTTAGTTTTTTCTGTTATGACTAGTTTTAGTTTATTAGTTTGAGTTATTTTAATATTTAAATTAAATGAAAATGAGAAATCTTGCTGTCATGATCTCAGAGAATAAAGTCCACAGAAAAGGTCAGATGAAGATGGATTAAAAAATAAAAGTTTTTATTCAACAAGCTCAGATAAAATCCACAGGTTATGTAAGTGTGTTCGAGTACAAACTCCAAACACACATAACAACTCAGGCAGAGAAATGAGGGGATTAACAGATATAATAATCTATCTAAAACAATTAACAGGCAGATGATTAAATTAATTAGTAACAAATGAGAGAGGGAAAGGTGAACACATGTGCAAATGAGATTTTCAAATTGAGATTTTGCCACTTTATGTATATTTCACCAAATCAATGTCATGGAAACAGAAAATATGTTTATCTGAAAATATCTGATTCCTGCCAAGTCAACGGAGACTTTCATAAATCTCCGAATGACTCCTATTTCTCATTGCAATCTCTGAGATTCTTCCAACAGGTGGTCTCATTGGAGGGACATGTGGTCTGATACCACCAAAGATCTTCTCGTGTGGAGTTTAGAGGAGTCCTTATGAAAGATGTATTTTGGTGTAATTAAAACATCATTAAAACAAGTGATGACTAGTTTGGCATCTCGTCTGTTTTTATTCAACTGCCACTTCATTATGAAGATTGTGAAATAATTCTGCTCTGTGGTTATGAAAGCCAGTACATACAGCTGCAGTAATTTGATAGAGGAAATGCACACACTGATTTTTGTGATGGCTGAGGTTAGCTTTTGAGTAGAAATTCAGCATAAAAAACAAACTAGATGCATTTCGAAAGCATCTGCATCCCAGTCACAGAAACCGAGCCAAAAGTTGCATATGCTTCATTGTAAACTCTGAATAATGTTTCTTTGTAGCAGAGGAGCCATCCAGCTTGCTTTGGCCAACTTGACATAAATGTTACAAATCAGACTGTGGAACTTTTATAGAAATAGATCAGACATTTTACAGATGCATCACTGACACAGTCCATCTACAGCCATTTTTACTTTCATTTTATTAGTCTGTTACACAAGAACTTTTCAACCCGAAGCCTCTTCAACAAATTTAGCTGTTCATATCAGTTTTTTCATTGTTCATATCATTGTTTCATTTTAAATATGTCTCTGTATTTGATTCATTTTTATTTCAGTTTTAGCTTTCAGGGTAAATGGAAATGAGAAATGTTTGAGAAATGTCCAAGGCAACTAACTGAGATGAAGTAACTTTTTATTTTATTAAAGTAAACTTTATTTTAATTTCAATAAAATGGGTTTGTTTATTAGGCTATTACTAACCCAGAGTCATTCACACAACAGACTATATAGTCATATAGCCTATAGCCTATATATAGCACATATATATATATAATTAGCTAGTGTGATGATCACTGTTACTGTTGTGTCTGTGTCCCTTCGAGAACCGATCAGACTGCTCGTGAACAGCCTGTTCATTAAAAAGATTCGATTCAAAAGATCGATTCGTTCGTTAATTGGGACATATATTCAAGTTCTTTATACCTAATACTGCCATTTAGAGGGTGAGTGGCTTTTTCATTAAAACTACAAGCTGACCGTTTTATTATTTTCTTAATTCCGTTAATCTGTTTTTAGACGTGAAGGGGTTAATTAAATAATTTATTTTCCTCTTGTCTGAAAAAAAAATGTCAGGCACGTTGAGCAATCTTCGCGTTATGCCAAGCCGGTTGTATTACTATTGGTTGTTTCACCTTTCGCATTCATTCTCGTGCTGCGCAAACGAACGGCAGCGCGCGACACTTTCATCAGGACTGAGGAGAACGAGGACGTCAAAGAAACCAGTTCATGCCTAGATACTAATGCAAATACATTTTTCTGAAATCTGAACAGAGCAACGCAGGTGGATAGGCCCATAACTGTTATCGATACCATAGGCTACTTCTCCCTCGAACCATGAAGAACCTTCTCCCCAAGATGTGGGTCTTCATCGCTGCAGTCCTCTTCCTCCCTTTGCTCAATGCTGCCGAGTATGAGGACTACGTGTGGACATCGGAAAGTTACGGCAGAAGCCCACAGTGCATGGACATTCCCGAGGACCTGCGGTTGTGTTTTAATGTGGGTTACAATCAGATGCTGCTTCCAAATTTGCTCGACCATGAAACCATAGCGGAGGTGAAGCAGCAAGCGGGCAGCTGGGTTCCTCTGGTGCACAAAGCCTGTCACCCCGGCACGCAAGTGTTCCTCTGCTCGCTCTTCGCCCCCGTGTGCCTTAAAAGACCCATATACCCGTGCCGCTGGCTTTGCGAGGCTGTCAGAGACAGTTGTACACCCATCATGCAGTCGTTTGGGTTCCCTTGGCCTCAAATGCTCAACTGTAGCAAGTTTCCCGAGGGCGACGTGTGCATTGCCATGAACAAAAGCAGCAGCGATGATATGGACAAATCCCCAGGTGTGTATTATATACATATGTATGTGTATATATAAATATAAGCTATATATTTTGTCTAACATTCTTCCAAAAATATTGAAAAAAAAAAAAATAACCAATTTTGGTTCCACAAAGAACTTACAGTGAGCAGTGTTTTTTTTTTGTTTAAAGAACCATGATATAAGAACATTTTAAAAAGCTAAAGAACATCTATACCTCTATGAAGAACCTTTTGTGGAGTGGAAATTTTTTTTACATTTTGTTATTATTCTACTACAATTCTAACATTTGAAAAATTAGTAGGCTACATTTATAATGTTTTGGCACCTATTGATTCTGTAATAATATATTGATGGTTTTGTTAAAGCTGATAAAGCAGATGTGTTTAAACAAATAAAGTTACTAACATTAGATATTGTGAATTTAGTAATAGTCCTCACTTCACATAGATTACATTTAACTAAACTTAACATAGATCATTTGAAAATGCTACATATGTTAAAAAAATGGCCGATGTGATAACACTAATTCTTTAAAGCCAGTAACCGATATATTGGCTGATAAATCTAAATCCAAATTTTATCTAATTTTGGAGAGTCTGATTAAAAAAAAAAAAAAAAAACCGTCTCAACTCAACAATCAAAGTCATTATAAGCACAAAATAACAATGTTGTCATTATAATTTCATGTAGCCAAATGACAGATAACGATAACATTAAAAATGGGCATGTCGGCTGACATCAATATGGTGGCTGATATATCATGCATCCCTATTTTTAAGAGGTGTCAATATCATATGAATGTGATAAAGAGGTTAAATGGATGGAA